ATCAAGGCGAATGGCTCTTTTCGGAATGGAATCCAGCAGCTTCAGGGTATGCTTAGGGGTGAAGCTCCATACATGAGAACAGTACTCCTAAGAAGGTCTGATCTGAGCTTTATAAAACATCAAAAGTTTCTGAGGTGTGTACAGTTTTCTGGTTCGGAACAGTGTTCCAAGCTTTTGAGCAGCAGCCTTTGCAATACCAGGTACATAATTGTGCCATATCATATTGGTGCCCATTTTGATCCCCAATAAGCTTGTCAATGCTGGAAACGGAATTGTCTGTCCTGATAATTTATATCTGGTTCGGAGATATTCATCTTTTGGCATGAATTGAACCTGCTTACTTTCAGTCCAATTTGAAATGATCTTTCGATTCTCATTGAGATATGCGATGTCCTGAAATCCAAGTGGAATGACGGAACAAGTCTGCTGTCGTCAGCAAAGCAATATATTGGATTCTGGGTTGTTTCCAATAAGTCGTTGATATACAATGAAAAGAGGATTGGAGGCGATATGGATCCCTGCGAAGCACCAGCGTTGATGGTAAAAGTATTCGAGAGATATCCATCGACGGCTACTTGCAGGGAACGTTCTTCCAGAAAGCTGGAGAGCCATACACAAAAATGATCCAACAACCCATAGTATCGAAGTTCAATAAGTTCAATCGGCGAACCTTCATGCCACACACGGTCAAAGACCTAAGAAATATCAAGCATAACAGTTCTTGTCTCTCCATGTTTCTCGATCTCGTTATTCCAAATACGCGTGACAGACGATATAAGATCACCTGTTAATCTTTGTTTCCAAAAGCCATATTGACGATCCTTCAAGATGCTGAAGTCTTCCAAATTTCCAAGGATTTCCAAGGTTTACAACTTTCTCCATGGTTTTTGATACCATTGATAGCGAAGCGACCAGTCTATAGTCATTTCGAAGATTTTCCTTCTCTGAAAGTTCTGAAGTTCCACCAACGTGGATACCAGCGAAAAAAACTCTCCAGATTCTGAGGCCTGCTGCAATGAATGAATCGCGTCAGAAAAAGTAATAATTTTTGTTAGGGCCACGAGGACGAAGGAGTTCACGGGCTTTTTCCACTCCTCATACAATTGGCTCTTAGAAAAACTCCATCCATTGATCTGGAGCAGTTCACCACAACCTCGGTCATGTAACGTTTTTTCGACGGTCTGCGGCGGTGAATGTTACAAAATGTCGCTTTCCAGATATCGAACCCTTTCGATAATTAGTGCTTATCGAAAAGCTTAGTAAGCTTTTCGATAAGCACTAATTATTGAAAATGCATAAGTGTACAAAGACAGCGACAGAAATTTTGCATCACACACAAAATGAAAGGATTATAGACCACTCTGATCTGAATAATCTATGGCAGGTCATAATATCAAGAATAAAAGTAACAAAATTCAAAACTTGAAGAACTTTGACATACAGAGAAAACCCTACATAGACATATAGATTTGAGTGTAACGCATTGGGGAAATCATGCCTTTTCGTAGTTATGATCTTAAAAGTGTTGTTATACAGATGCTAAGATATTATCATGTGAGGAATCTCAAAGGATTCATAAGAGTCCATCACAAAAACAGTTGATTTTCAAATATATCAGTCACAGGGCCTTTTACCCAGGAAGTCATAACATGACTGACGGCTGCAAAATATATTCATTTCATTATTCGTATTCGTTGTTAATCGTCAAATGAAAAATTCGAACGAATTTTCAAAAACATGGTGGAGTTGAAGCTATCGAAAGTTCAAGTTACTCGAGAAAGGATCCTAATATTGTCATTTTTCGGATAGTTTTCATGATTTCTGACATTTTATAAAAATAAGCAAGCTGTCGAAAATTGAAAATTTTCGTAATTTTTTTTATTCACAATAAAATGTTTTTTGGGAAAATTTCTGATATTTCAAGTAGTTCTGGTGAAAATGCGTTATCGAAAAAATTTGATTACCAATTTTTTCAACAATAATCAATCGACCCATGCAATTTAGAGAAGATTTATATAACAATAATGATAATTACCGTGAATAAAATCATTACTAAGTATTTTTTTTATATTTCCAATTGTTTTCAAATTACAAGGTGAATTTGAATTTTCTCTCTAAATATTCTTTCACAGCTTTCACAGTTTGAAGTTATGGACATGATGACATTTTCCTTTTTTACATTAAATACCAAAGTCCACAACAAGCACTCTTCCGAATCACAAGAAATGCAATATTCAAGAGTACTCTAGAGTACTGCATTTCTGGTAATTGTGAAAAATACTTGTTTCACATCTATTTCACACCAGATATTCCAGTTCCAGCTTCTGAATGCCAAATAATCAGAGATGGAAAAAAATTCACACATACATTGCCAAAATTGTTGTGATATATTATGGGAAATAATTGGTTTTCAGAGAACTATTTGACTGTTTCGTAGGTGTCATCGAGCAGAAATGAAAATTATACCGAACTTTCTTAAAATTCATCTGTCCCAAATTAACGTAAAATTATAATTCTCATATATAGGAATAATCTTTTTCCCATTTTTTTTCCCAAAATTAACGTCCTAATTCAAAAGTGAGAGTTCAAATCAGGATATGAATTAATTCTTTATTGCAATACCATAAGCAGTAGAGTATATACCGCCTCTAGGATAGAATGTGCGATGATTGTTGAAATTTTATTGGCAGTGAACAAGTTCCTGCACAATTCCCAGGGTTTTACTTTACAGAGACATCTTAGTGCCCTCTTCTGTAATATCAATATAGAAGAGAGAAGGGATGAGTTGCATGCTCCCCAAAAAGGTATTCCATAATGTAGTCATTGAAAGAAAATGCATAACATCCATAGGAGATCTCACTGTTGAGTGAGTCAGTCTATTATCAATGAACATTTGAATGATATTATATTCGTTTTGGATGCATTAGGAGAGAGTAAATGTGCATCGCACCAGCACTTCACCTTCTTCAAGTCGGATGATATCATTTCATTCAGCTCCACTGAGTTTTTTCATCCCACAAAATTGTAGTATCATCCGCGAATAGAGTGAAACTACCGGATATGTCAATCATAGATATGTCATTCATTCAAAGCAGAAATAGAAGAAGGGCCTAAAACAGAACCCTGTGGTAGACCAGATTCAATGGCCCTATTCTTCTAGAATTCCGTTGTCCTCACCATTTGACTCCGACCTGAAAAGTACGATTCGAACCAAGTGTCGTTACACCTCTATACCATATTTATGAAGTTTTTTTAGTGAAATTTTATGATTGATGCATGCAAACGCCTTTGAAATATCGCAAAAAATTGCGGCGGCTACTTCACCAGCATTCAATGCAGAGTAAATTTTATATGAATATGAATAAATTCTTTATTGCAATACCATAGAAGCCGTAGAGTATATACCGCCTCCATTTATATGTACTGTTGTTTCAACTCCATTATTTGGATTTTTTTGACATATTTCTGAAATTGTTGATAAAGACGTCAATTAATAAGTGATTTTTTTGCTGGAATCTTTTTGGCAACACTGTTTTTGACAGATCACGCCTGAATCGCGTCTTATGTCATTGTCAAACTTCTTCAGTTTGGTCTATAATTTAACCATGAATTGACTTACGAATGAACAACGCTTGCAAATTATTGAATTTTGTTATCAAAATTCATGCTCGGTATGAAGAAAGTGCATCGTGCACTTCTTCCAATGTATGGGCAGTTTCTCCGGCCTACTGAGGGAGCTATTCGGAAGCTTGTGACAAAATTTCGAACCCAATTTACATTATTGGACATCAAACCACCAACATGCATACGTAGAGTGAAGACCAAAGAAGATATTGCGGCTCTATCCGCCAGTGTTCGTGATGACCGTTAAATGTCGATTCGCCGCCGTTCGCAGCGGCGAGTGTAAAACCTTATCAAATACAGCTGGTGCAAGAAGTGAAGCCACACAACCTTCCACAACGTCTAACATTTGGTGAATGGGCGCTGGCAAAGTTGGAGGAAGATCCACATTTTTATCGAAAAATTGTGTTCAGCGACGAGGCTCCTTTCTGGTTGAATGACGTTCAACCAGCAAAATTGCTGCATCTGGAGTGAAGACCAGCCACAAGCATTGCAAGGTCTACCGATACATCCCGAAAAAGTCAATGTTTGGTGTGGATTATGGGTCGGTGGCATCGGCATTGGGCCGTACTTCTTCAAAGACGACAATTGCTGGAACGTTACTGTGAATAGCGAGCGCTACCGTGTGATGATTGACGACTTTTTGTTGCCCATAATGGAAGAATTGGACATGCCTGACATGTCGTTTCAACAAGGCGGTGCCACATGCCACACAGCACGCGAAACAATGGCCCAATTAAGAGCTGCCTTCGGTAAATAGTTTATCTCGCGTTTGGGGCACGTCAATTGGCCGCCTAGATCGTGTGATTTAACGCCTTTGGATTATTTCTTGTGAGGACTTGTTGAGGCTCACGTCTACAGGGATAAACCAGTAACGACTGACGCTTTGGAAGCCAATATTGAAGCATTTATACGTGAAATACCGGTCGATATGTTAGAGAGAGTGTGCCAAAATTGGAATTTGCGCATGGGCCATCTAAAGCGGAGCCGCGGACAATATTTGCATGAAATCATCTTCAAACATTGAATTATATTGATCTTTCAATCGATTCCGATGAAAATTTCATCAATTTTTTCAAATTTTCTGTGTTGTTTTGAAAATCAAATCCTATACCTCTTAAAATATCACCCGTTATATTGGGGCAGCAGATTGACGTTTTATTTACTTGCAGTATAAAAAATTTAACGACAAATTATCAGCTTCGCAGAAACTTTCTGCTGCCTCCATTTCAATAAATGATCAAGTTGAGGAAAACATTATTATCATTGCGAATTTTTGACGAAGGTCCAACAAAATACATTCGTAACGTATCCGCTCCAACTAATTCAACATCCGTCCGATTACACCACACGTAATGACATGATATCGTCTGTTTCAGGAATACATACGACAAAGCCGTGAGCAACAACTCAACGAGCTGGAAAAACAAGAGCCGTCAGAGAAGCAGGCGCCCTCCAAGATGGGAAGCCGATCTCGGTCGCACAGCACCCAGTCGACGGACTCGAACAGATTCGACGCTATAAACGCCGTGACCAACACGACGCCTTGCTACGTCCCTGGCGGAGATGTTTTGCCAATTCTCATCAGGCACGACCACAGTATGAGCCCTTCTAACGGAGATGCTTACAATACGAACATTTATACGGTGAGTAGAGATTATGTTTCCTAAAACTTTTTGTGGCCACGACTAGTAATTAACGTTGTAAGTTCTGACAAATATTGAACAAAACCCACGTTGAGTTTTTGTTTTGGTTTGGGAAATTTTCACCTTCCTCAATATTGAAAACATTGAATTGGGAGAGGTATCTTTCAGAAGGGATTATTTTCTGGGAGAGAAGGATTTTGGCTTTCTATTTCTTCTTTTCTTCATACACATTTATATGGGAATCATCTGAAGAAATTGAGAAAGCATTCAATTTCGCAATGAACTCTTTGATAATATGTGTAAATCATGAAAAGAAGTAACTTTAAGGCATAAACCGAAATAAATTTCAATTTGTTACACTCAATGAAAGATAAGACACAAATTTATTACAAATACGATTGAAACAGAGTTAGGATATCTATGGAACGCCATATTACTTTTCGTTGTCACAAATATTCATTCTTCAATTTATTCACCTAACAATTTATTCGTTCGAATTTAATTGATTCATGCATTTGTTCGATACATTTAAAACGATTGTTCGCAAAATTTGTTCTATTTTAAATGACACTAGATTTGAAATGCTACATGAATAAAATTGTTACTCGAATGAAAAAGACTAATGAAATAACTTGAAGCTTCTATTGATTCCGAAGAAAAATATCGTTTCAGAATATTGGAAAATGGAACGCCACTTTACTATATATTATGCTGAAAAGTAATCTATATACATATAATTCAACTCAGCAATGAACAAACATTTTTATTCAACAGTCAATGGAATGTATTATTCGAGTAAATTCAACAAACGTTTCAATTCCGCATATAATTTTGAATAAAATGTTGGTTATCTATATCACTGTTGAATTATAATGAAACTTTAAATTCACTTTCTAAAAGTAAGTTTGGGAATAAAATTTCAATGAATATATTTGAATGACTGTCAAAGTTTTCCCATGAAACATTGTTGGTAATTAAAATAGACTTTCGTTTGTCTGAAAATATAGCAAATTAACTTTCCATACTAAATATTTTTCTATAAATAATAAAAATTGTTATATTTTAATTTTATTGAAAGTGTTAAATATTTCCAACATTCACTTTAATGCATTCAATTTAAAATTTGGTTACAACTTTTGTGCAAAACATCATCAAGCAACTATCATTTTATTTCATCAATCTTTTTAAAAAGCTAATTTCTGACAAAGAATTGAATTTTTTGATGATTTAAAAAGTTTGCTGTATTTGAAAGATACATTTAAAACGATTGTTGATAATTTTAATTCGGCGCTGGTATCGAGCGGATTTATCAAGAACTTCAAGTGTTACATATTTCAACATGATAGTTCATTTATAGTAAATTATCAACAATAAATTTAATCCATGTATTACTAAAATTCAACAAACAAAATAATTCACTTCTTTTCAAAGGAATATTAATAAAAAGTAAAACCGCGTGGCACGCCGTTATACTTTCTATTAGTATTTTGTGAAAATGAATTGTTTTGATTGTTGCATCTAGGTGATATATGAATTGAATTGATTTTTGATAATTTTTATTCGTCGCTGCGATCGAACGGATTATTACCGTACTATGACCAACGCCATACATATATGCAGTTATGTAGTCCCACAAAAATACGCCCGACTTCAGCGCCGAATAAAAATAATCAACAATCAATTCAATTCATGTATCACTGAAATTCAACAAACCAAATAATCCGGCTCATTTCAAAGGAATATTAATAAAGAGTATGCCGTTTCACTTTCTATTGGCATTTTGTAAAAATGAATTGTTTTGATTGTTGCTTTTAGGTTAAAAATGAATTAAATTGATGTGTGACAATTTTATTCGGCGCTGCGGTCGGACGGAATATTGTGTTACTATCACTAGACTATCATGTTGCCAGATTTAAAAATTCACCTTCGGCAAGAATCCGCTCGACGCTAGCGCCGGATCAAAATTATCAACAATCGTTTTAATTCAAGTAACTATAATTATCAACAAACAATTTAGAAGGAGGAATAAGGTGTAAAGGTGACCTAGTGAATAAGTGCTTGTGTTTTTGAATAGTTTATTTTGTGAAAAAGAAGGCTGAAAAGTTGCTTTTTTTTGAACTTTGAAGGACCGTAACTTTGTAAATAAGGGAGAGCGCCGCTTTTTTCTTTCGTAATTGTAATCTACGCATCAAAATACGTATGTACACTCAAAAATTTTTTCAAAATCGCCGGGTGTCCTCAAATCGAAAATTTACCAAAAAAAGTTTATGGTGGCCATTTTGACACCAAAAGTTTTATCGAATATTTATTATTACATCTTCATAGTACACTTCGAATACAATAACTTTTTCTTTTCCATTTTTTGATATTCTCCGAAATAACAATTCCATTCGAAAAAAAAAAACGAAAAACAGCATTTTTGGGCAAGAAGGGCAAGTGTGCCCGTAATTTTTTCAACCATTGTATTGTTCCCGATGACAGTTACTTTTTTTCCCATTTAATCGTCTTCGTATCTGTTACGGTTTAGAATATAATAATATTACCACATGATAAAAAAACGGTCTGTATACATAAAATAAATTGTGAAATGAATTCTTCATCACAGTGAGTTTTTTCTAGGTGGACAATGAAAGCCCGCCACAAATGTGTGACAGTGCGTGTCAGACCCGCGAGAGCCTCTTCACGACCCAAGGGTACAGCTCCGGAAACACCACCCCCAGCCACAGCATTCACACGAACTCGCCCCCTGCCCCCTTCAGCACGTTCGGCTACAAGAAGGAGACCAAGTTCAAGGCGGAGGCGAAAATCGAAATGACGCCCAACAACTACGTCGCGAAGCATCAGCAACAAAACAGGAGGCCGTACAGCGTGCAAACGACGAAGTCGGCGCCCGACGTCATCGTCACCCACTGACGAACGCACAAGGCCGAGTGGGAGCCGTACAAGAGGCGGTACCCACGGCTACATTCGGGGGCCATCTCCGCCGCTGTCTTCGAAGATATGTTCGCAGCAGAAGGGACTCAAACGTACGATACTGATTTTTATACATAATATTAAATATATTTGAACGTCTTCTTGTATTGATAACACGGCCGTTTTGGATGAGATTGTTCGAAAGATGTTTTTATTATGAGTGAAAATAAGGGTGTACGTTCATAATATGATTCTATGGTATATTTGGTCCCATTCTCACCTCAGCTGAAGCGCAGTGTATTGCAAATATTATTCAAATACAGGGTCTTTCACGACGATCATTCGTTAGGAATATATGGAGAACGATTCAAAATAAAAACTTGAAATTTTGTGGTAGTGAGTTTAACAAAATGGCCTTCTCAACTAAAACATTTTTAACTTCCAGTCTCTTTGCGTTATACCGGAAGTTGACGGCAACTTTTTCATTTCAAATAGAACACCCTGTATTTTATTACATTTTTGAATTTCTCAGCACATTTTAGGCCCACTTTGTATAACAATGCCTATACCCAAATTTGTTAGTTTTCAAGATATTAGATTTTTTCTGAAAAATTTGTCAGTTACAGCACCACTCCGAAAAACTCATAACTCCTAGACAGTAACAGTTGAAAATGTGAAATTTCACAGAATTACACCTTAAGCATCAAGTCATGTACATATCAATCGAATTTTCGAAAATAATTTACAGGGTGGTCGAAATTTCCACCTAAAACATAACATCGAGAAAACTGATGAAACACGATTTTTTCAAATGGAAACCATACACTTTTCCATTATTTTTGGAACTACGAGAAAGAAAATATCAAATTCGTGAAGAATATCCTATACCTAAAATTCACCCCTGGCAAGATATATCCTATTTTGGAAAATATTTGAAATGTAAATCATTCGAAACAATGTGGTGCTGTTACTGTCAAATTTTTCAGAAAAAAATGAATAACTCGAAAACTAACAGATTTGGGTATAGGCATTGTTATACAGTGTAGGCCTAAAATGTGCTGAGAAATTCAAAACTGTAATAAAATACAGGGTGTTCCATTTGAAATGAGGAAGTTGCCGTCAACTTCCGGTATAACGGAAAAAGACCGGAAGTTGAAAATATTTCAGTTGAGAAGATCATTTTGTAAAACCCATCACCACAAAATTTCAAGTTTTTATTTTGAATCGTTCTCCATATATTCCTAACGAACGCTCGTCGTGAAAGACCCTGTATATATTCTTTGTCTAAACGTGATCGACTGAAAGTGAGTAGGTTATTTTGATATTACTATTTTCACAAAACAATACATTCATTTCTGAATGAATATTTGTTCATACATCATTTCAGAAAAGCTCATGCATAGAAAGTTGTAATAATAGTATTTCAGAATATGGTGCCCACTAAACTACGTATGCAAGCACGATGACATCTTCCTTCATGAAGATGTCATCTGATGGATCGTCAGATAACTCAATTCACGAATATCAAAGGTGAACAAGGCTCCCCAAGTCGGTCATTTGCAAAGCCAGGCTTCAATATCGACTGTCGACGAAGCCCTAACAGCGCTTATACGACCCTACATAGGCTAGACTGAACTACAACTGCATTGCTGGACTTAACCGCCTTAAAAAACAAGCCCGAATAGAGAAGGGCGATTATATCTTCCCATACGAAAACGCCATCTATGGATCGACAGAGAAGTCAATCCTTGAATATCAAAGATAAAGTAGGCTCCCTAAAAGGTCAGATGAAAAGTCAAGCAAAGTGTTAAATAAAAGACATTTTGGATACCGAATAGAATATCTAAACTATGATCCAGTTTTGACATTCACCTCTTCAAATGGCTCTTGTTTTGGAGTAATACTTGTAAATCAATAGAATGCTAGTTTGGCTTTGAAAAGTTTCGAAACAACTATACTGCATAACAAATTCCAGAATACCTTACGCAAAATTCGAGAATCTGAAAAGTTTCTTCTCGAAATATTCTAGAAAATCTTCAAGACATTCGAGAGTGCGAATCCTGATTAGAAAAGAAATAATCTACTTCAGATTGATAACAAAATAACGTTACTTACGAAAATTTTGTTCCATAATACATATCTTCGTTGTATATTCGGTAAAATGTTTCAATCGAACTTAATTATTTTTGTATTCACCAACTCAATGTTAAAATACATATTCGAACTACTGGGTTTTTTCAGTGGCTGAAGAAAAAAGAACATGAATCGATCCATTACCTAACCCTCCGCTAGCAAATAGAAGTCAAAGTTTTTTTGGAATGCGTTCACATTTCTGCCAGTCACTAATGACTTGGTCCTTCTACAATTCTCAGAAGAGTGTTTTTTCGACTTCTTTGAATAACATTCATTAAATGTTTTTACTAATCATTTGACGATAAAGTTTATCAGTAACCGGGTGTCCCAATAATTGCTTGATATATCTATAATGCCTATACATATACAACTTCAAAGAAAAGTAAATGGCCACATTTTGGAATTAGTTTCAGATGCTCAGAATGTTGAGAGTGTAACATTTTTTCGTGAAAGCAAATGATACGCATTTTTTTAATGGAATAAATATTTTATATAATGTGTCATAGTTTTTTATTCAGCGCTGGATTTAAATTTAGCCAAAATGAGCTCTTATCAAATCACTGATATTTTTTGTAAAATTCACAAGTAAACCCTGAATGCTGTTAATGAAATAACTCCAATATACAGGGTGATTCAAATATTACTTTGATTTTCCTCAATTTGAGTTAATATATACGATTTTTCCAAATAGAACATCCTGTATTCTGTATATCAGTTTATCTTTAAGTTTCGCGTTCACAGAAAATTATTTTTTGAAATAATTTCATTAAAAAAACTCAATTTCGGATTATATTTACTACAAATCAATGGAAAATCCTCGCACTAAGATGTCTAAATCTTTTCTGAGAAAACTTTCGGAACACTGAACTGAAGATTCATCTTAGCGGTGTCATTTTCTTGCGATTCTGGACAGTCACCGTCGGCTCAAAAGTTCTGTGAATACATCCATAACGCCTCCACTTTTTTTTAAGGAACTCAGGGTATATGTCATTGGATATATACCCGGTCCTTTGGATTCTTCAATAGGTGGGCAAATTTCTGCCTTCGAATTACTAGCAAAGAGACAGGCATCCCAGCGGCCAGAGTCGCGACGCTCCACAGCGACAATTGGGAATGGTTGACTTGAATATCGATTGGGTTTAATGCTCGTTTCTTGATTTGATCGAGTTGAAGCTCATCCAGCTTCCATGGAAAGTTTTTTCAGGATCAGTTTATGGACCTGCATCACAGGAAGTTTTATTAGTTTGATTTCTGCTAATGTGATAGAATATAGCACATTTTGGCGGAACAATAAGCATATGAAATAATTTCATTTCAGTAAAGCAACATCGTTTTCTTGAAACATTTCGAATGTGATAGTCCTCTTTGATTTCGTGGATGATTTTCTGTATGAGAGCAACAGGTAATTGACGACAGCTGTCGATCTCCGTTTCGGTCGTCACATAGTCTGGATTGTCCCGGATCAAGAGAATACATTTTTTCTTGTAGATAAAATTTGTTGGGAGGTTAAACACTTTTCTTTTTTGAACTGATATTTTCGTTAAGGAAGGTGGGATACAGCGGATTTTATTATCAATTGGTTTCGAAACTCTGACGAAAATATGACATAAAATTCAACCGCGGAAATGCGTGTTTCTACAACTGAATGAACCTTTAGATTGTCTAGATTATCAAAGATCAATTGAGAATAGCTGTGGGATTGGTAAAGATCGTTGTTTTTTTTTAGTTCACTGATTTTATTTTCAATTGACTTTTGAAAGTAAGTGTCCCAAAACTGGTGTCCCAGTTTTGGGACACCATATTTGGGGCTTCTGATCGACTTTGATCACAACCACCTGAACTTAGAATTAATTTATTGGTTTATCTGTTATGCGTATAGTCAGTATCGAGTTTTTATTACTAGTATGAATGATTCCATTGTCATAGTCGCTTTTTTGTGAATGATTTGATAGTCAAATCAATTCAGCTTCAGTCTCCAACGGACTAATCGGGAATTTGTTTCTTTCAACGACATCAGCCACTGAAGTGGTATATGATCAGTAATGGTTTTGAACTTTTTTTCGACAAGGTATTGTGCAAAATATTTGGTTGTCCCAACTTTGGCTACTCGAAAGTCAAGTAATTTTCGTCTGCAATGTTCGTATGGGATTGGCCTGCCCAACTGGTGAAGTTGGACATTGAGGCAAAAGGGCACCAATCCATGTTACTAACATCTGTATTTGAGTTGAACTTTTTTGTGAAGTCGAGGTATTGTAAAATGGGGTCAATAGAGCTCCAAAGTCTACGAGGGTTTCCATATGGAGAGAGTCATTGATATTTACTTTTGCCCCTTCGTTGGGCAATTTGTATAGAGTTTGGTAGTTTTCGTAAGACTTTGAATGAATTTTCTATGATATCCTGAAAGCCCAGGGTAGCCTTTGATTCCTTCTGTCGTTTCAGGAATTTGAAAGTTCTAAGAAAAAATAATTTTTTTTCTCAGAAACTCATATTTGTCCAATCAGACTTTCGGATTACTTCCACGCAGTTTCTGGAGGATTTGAAATATGGAATTTGAAACCTTTTGCATGAGACGAAACTTATTGTTTCTTTCACAATGATGATATACCGGTATACACTTTTCATTGTGATAATCGTTTTGAAATTGACCCTGTCTAGTTGATTTTTTGAGTCTCAATTTTTCCACTGCTCAACAAAAATACAAATCAAAAACTCTATTCATTTGTATATCAGTTATAATAATATATGCAGTTGTTAGAATTATTCTAAGAAAACTGTATGAGTAACCATACGGAATGTTATTAAATATTACTCTGCTTGCGAAGACATTTTTGAGGTTTTCAAAACTTGACAGGAACTGAGGGCTTCCAAGCATTTTTTTTTCGCAATATTTTTTCAGATCGCTTTCGGTTACTGTCGAAATGCTTATCCCAAATAGTGTGCTTATCGTAAAAATCACACCTATAAGTTTATAACTTAACGACTTGTACACAAAAAAAACATACAATTCCATTTTTCGCGAAATGAGA